TGTACAATAAATAAATTATGTACAATTGTGCCATGCGTGAAATATTTTTGCATTCAATTAAAAAAACATGTCTTTAAGGCTACAATAAAGTCTCTATAAATGCAGAAATATCTCTATCATAAATGCACTAGTTCGGCCCCGAGTTTGAGCATTTATGGAGACTTTACTGTAATCATTTGTGTCTGATCACGGTAGAAGTAGATACGAATAAAACAACCCTTTCTTAAGGGTCAAAAATAAATCCTTTATAACCTCGTACTAACATTATCGACAAATATTCGCCAAGCAAACCTACATTTGAAACTCGTCGTAAGTACCATCTTCCGAAAAGAACATCCGAAACGATCGACTTCCCGTAAAATAACTCTGCTCCGTTACAAAAAAAAAGCCCGAAAGGATTCCGCGTTTTAAGTCTTCTAAAACCTTCTCAACGCGTAAATAAAGCCGTGCCGCAAGACTTTTCAAGCGGTCCCGCGTATTAAACTCGCGAACATTCGCACTCTCGGCGGACGATGTAATCGCCGGACTGAAATTAATCACCTTTAACGGGGTCCGGCGCGGTTTAAAAACTCCTCGAAAACTGCCCGGTCATCCCGCGCCGACACTTAAGCGTTAACGTTCTTATTCGCCCGCGTTATTTCAGCCGCGTCGCCGGCGAAAAGGTTCGGGATTTCAGGTGGGTTTTATTCGTCGAGTTAATTGCGATCTATCTGCGCGAAGGCATCGAAATACAGAAAAAAAAAAAAAAGAAAACAGACCACGCTCCCCGGTAGGATGAAATTAAGTGGATTAGTACTCTAACGGCGAGCCGGCGGTAAACTGAAATAAATATGGTGCTCGCGAGGGTAGAGGGTGAATGTAATTATGCGACTAAGCACTTAGTAATTTCCGACGAAAAAAAAAAAAAGAAACGAAGGGAGCGAAATAAAAGAAGTCGGCGGAAGAAGAGGAGGAAACACGGGGAGTTAAAAGTTGGCGAGTATCTCGATCTCGTTACGAACTGATGCGGATACTTTTAGGCCGAGTTAGATGATCCAAACACGGTCTACGCTTCAACGAAATGCGTAAGAAATGTTGAAGTTAGTACGGGCGATTGCGTTGTGGCACTTTTCGACTTTGAGCAGAGGGTGGAATTAGATATAAAAATTTGTTAAAGGGCAGGTAAGCATAGGAAGAGAGAAAGGATGATAAACATACCGTTGAGAACTGCGATGATTAATTTTAAAACCAAAAGGTTTGATCGTTTATTTATTTATCACTAGACTGCGGATGCAAAATAAAATCTTCGCGAACGTCCCTACGAAAATTGAATGGAAGGATGGATTTATTCGGCACTTTTGGATGAGGGGAAATTTTCAAATATGAAATGTGCAAGGTCATGCCGTAATGTTTCGATAACAGAAAACGTTAAACTTGAAAATTGTCCAAATTTTCGTCTCCTTCGAAATACCTACAAAAATTGAACCTATTCATTTATTTTACCCTGCAAATATTATAATACGATCTTTACTGTCAATATTTTTTATACTATTGCCAACTTGTCTACATTCCGTAGTTTCTTGCACGTTCAAATTTCCGATAGATGCATAAAAATCCGCGGTCTGACAATAATTGTCTGGTACCTCGAATTTCACCCCGAGACCCACACCGCGATACCCCATCCTCGGGCTCTCGCAGAAAAAAAGTTTGCCCGGGCCGTTTCGTCCTCTAGGAACTATAAAAGCAAATTGGCCTCGCAACTTTTGTGTTCGCCGAACTAAACCGAAATAAATATGGCGCGCGGCCCGCGAAACGAGGGTGAACGTAATTATGCGACCGAGCACTTAGCGATTTCCAACGAGGAAGAAAAAGAAACAGAAAAAAAGGAGAAGAGGAGAGTTAAAAGTTAGCAAGTATCTCGATCTCATTACAAACCGATGCGGATACTTTTTGGGCAATCGTTTCGCCTTTCGTCGATTCCGTTCCCCCTCGACGCACAATTGAATACCATCGCCGGGGAGAAATAAATTCGCGATAGCGAAGGGAAATGAGGGACCGGAGCGGCGGGACACGGGGAGGGGCACAAAGGAACAAGGGCGAGCCGTTAAAAGTTGAAGACGCGTTTGCGCGGAACCGTTTCATTGTAATAGCCGAAGTTCTCGGCCGCCACGGGCTCGGGGTCTGGCCTTTATTATTTTATATTTCGCGGCACCGCGACGCTTCGAGATAACTGAAATTATCCGTACGTTTCAAAGTGAAACAACCATTAGCGAGCGACGCGAAACTTTAATTCCCGACGATACCGCGCCGATGCGGTCTTCTTGCCCGTCGGACTCCCTCGACGCGCCTAATTTCGATGAGATCCGTGCTCCTTCCTAATTTCTTCCGCCGCCGCGACCAGAGATAGCTGCGGTGGATGGAACGTAATCCGATTAACCATTTCGATAGGAATGTAAAAAAGGCCTCGAATGCAAAAGGGTTAATATTGTCTTGGGATACAATACAACTCATTCGTGTCTGACCATTTCTCGCCAATTCTACTTACGGATTTCGTTAACCCTTTGCACTCGAGAGGTGACTCTCAGTCACCATTAGGTTTCACGCAGCAAATCTACCATACCTAATGTTTCTTTATTTTTCATTTCTTCGGAGCTCGAAGCGTCGAAAGAATGATTGTCGACGAGGTAAAGGTGACCTTATTCTCAAATCTAGATAGCTTAAAATTCATGGCAATAGAATGTTAAGAAACATCTCGAGTTGCTGACAGGTACCAGAAAGAAAGGCCTCGAATGCAAAGGGCTAATATCTCAACGAAGCCTCGGACAATATTTTCGGATCGAAATTGTTATTTAAATTCTTACACTAATTCTGGGACACTCTGTATATGAACGACGCGGCGATCAACGTGTTAAAAGACGTCGAAACGCAAGAAGTCGATATCATTAATCGTAATGAACGATGTACGAGGCTTCTTCGTTTCGAGAATTCGTTCCCGGCATACCTCCAATAAAATTTCGTTGCGTTTCTCCCTCTACTTCATTCCACGGAGTTGTAATTGCGGTTTGCAGCGCTGGCATGCACTAATATTGCTTATTTCCAGCGTAAACCTCTCCAACGATAATGCCCCACATGTTTTCCATCGGATTTTGGCCGAGAGAACGTGCCAGCCGTACCAAAACATCGATTTCAATGATCCCCGAGAATCCATGCCGTAGCTGCGCGACTGCTATGGTCGGCGGCATTGTCTTGCTGGAAAATCCATTTTCTAGTAATCCAATGTACTCTTCGCTATTCGTTCGGGTTGTCGGAAAGGCTAGCGGTAGGAACCTTCCAGCTACCGAAGCTCCGTTTTAAAAAGTATTGGCATCGCGACGATCCTTTCGGCGAGCACGGTTTCTATCCGAGCCAAGGAAATTAAATTCTCGGCGAAATGTATTACATAGAGAAATCGCGTTGACGATTTATGTAAAAACAAACGCTAGACACGCGATTACCACATTGAACCTAAAAATCTAATAGTCTAAACATTGAAATTCCATCACACCAAACAACTACACCAACGAAGGAACTAGACGGTAGAATCGTAGCACCCACTGCTTCTTCGAGGTAGGTGTGATAAACAAGATGCTCCGTATGTTTTTATAAAATTTTATTTAGAGATAGATACGTCTATATATCAGTTTTAAGGGAAGGAAATAGAGCCCGAAACGAAAGATTGAACAAATACGTATACGTATAAAACTGTAAATATAGGTGCAGTCGCCTGAAGACTAAATCACTGAAGTCAAGCGCAAACGAAACAGAATTCCTGAATAAAATAGTATAATTATTTATAAGAATAAATATTATGTTTCTCTATATTATTGTTTTTGAGTTATTATTAAGACTTGTTAAATTTAATATATATTTTATACATTCAGAGGTTATTTACTTAAGAAACTCATAACGTAAAACATATATTAGACCTACATAGTAATAAGAACCAAATGTACAACTTGAACCATGCAATGATTGTAAAATATTGCAAAAAGAAAGGAGTGCAATACCCACTTTAATAAAAACCCAAACACTGCTTCCACGTCTCAATGAAAAACTTCAAACCGTCCACTGGTCCTCGAACCCAAGAGGTCACAGGGTTCAAAGCCCACGTATCTGCGGTATCTGGGAAACTTACGCTAATTGTATCCGTATTTCGTGCACCAGTACAATAGATTTTCAGGTCGAAACGCATTCCCCCGTGAACCTGAGTGTCCCGATCGCTAATGGTTCGCCGGGGTTGGATGGTCCAGTGATTAATTGTGTCAGCCATGATTACATTACAGAGGACGCAGATCCACTATATTATATACGATCGTGCATGCGTGTATCCCGCGGGCCGGTCGGTTACACGTGCGTCGAACGCATTCGTGCGTGCTAGGTGGGAGATGCGTTTGTACCTAGGTATCAGTCTGTAACTAACCGGTCCTAACAGGGAAACGCGTCGGGAAAACGTTTGACGACATCGTGGAACTGCGAAGTGTGCATGCATATTGCAGGATCGCCGGGTCCCCGACAAGGCGACGCTACGCGGCGGTTTTCCTGGCCGCGTTGAAACTTTCATGGCGTCGCGTTTGGATAGTCGAAGTCAAAGGGTTAAGTCTGAAATAAGCGAAACGAACTTCGAGGGTGATCGAGGTGGGATCGAGGAAATCACGAGCGATGTTCCGTTTTTGGAACGAGGCTCTTTTACTCGCGTCGGGAATAAATTTTGCACCGACTAGAAAATAAAAAATATAGACTATACATCGATCGTTTTCAATTCAGAAATTTTTTCCTCGAGGAAGAATTAATCTACTGTTTCTTGAACGACGAAGGTGGCCGTCTCCCGTTGAACTACTAACTTACAAGGGAACATATCCAATTGTCACGCGACGATTTTGATATGAAATTTATGCGGTAGGTAGCTCTCGAAAAAATATTTGACACGTATTTTTTTTTTATCGGCAATTGTTTATATCGAAGGGGTGAAAACAGCGTCTAAAGTTGCGGGTGAAAACCATGTTTATTCAAATATCTTGACAAACTAGAGGACCAAGAACAAACATTTTGTTTTTAAGATTGAAAATCTTTTTATTTTCGAACAGCCGAAATTCGTGTCACGTTATGTGATGAAAAATGCTGTGAGGCGATGAAATGGGTGGGTAGTAACAGAATAAATATGTCCCGTTTCACAGCTTGAAAAGTGGAAGGGAAATGCGATGAAGATAGAGAACCACAGCAAATAAAGAAAAAGACGCACAGTATGATATTTCAGCGATCTTGCGGGACAAAACTTACGTGGTCCAATATTTCGCCAACTATTAGGTCGTCTACACACGAAGCTACTCAAAACAAACGTAATTGATCGGTGACTGAAATACATGTATGTGTTTGGGTGGTCCCTAACAACATATCAAAAATGCGACTTTACAGTATCTTCTGCAACGTTTGGCGTCTAAAATGACTGGCCTAACTGCTGATTGGGCGGAGTATCGCGGGATCTAGTTCACGGTGGCTCGTCCGTGGCTCACGGATAATATTAAACGTAGCGCGGTACCGATGCTGAAAGCGGCGAGGATCGATGAGGTAAAGGAGTATCGCAGACATCGCGGGACCAGAGTTGATTAACTTGGCGAAACTCGAGAGACCTTCGATACGATCTTTATCGTGTACCGTGAAGAACTACCGTCCGTAATTAATTATACAGAGTTTCGCGAAAGTTTTCTCATTTTTTCCTTGAAAAGATTTCCCCTCCCTCCGTGCACGGAGGACGAACGTCGGCTCAATAGACTCACAGCCGGGGCGAACGGCTAAATTTCGACGAGTCCCGATCGCGGACCGTCGCGTTCCAACTAATTTACCGGCGCAATTAACCGAGCTCCGTTTTGTTCGCGGCGAGACCAACCAGCCGCCAAAGTTCCGCGAAAAGAACGGATTTGAAATTTCGCGTTCACTTGCCAATCGAGTTACGAGATTAAAGGCGCCGATACCGAACGCTTTCGAAGTTCTCTTATGGAAAATTACTGTGTTTTTTTATTGGATTAACTCATTGAGTCGATAGAGCGACACTGACTCACAATTTCCTTTGCGAAAATGTCAGATTGTGCTTCGTTTTTGGAATATTTTCTTCGTCAACAAAAGGGATCGTCGTATGCTTGGAATATATTTCACGATTGAAAATACAGGATGCTTGAAAATATATTTTTGTGTGGTTTTTCGTGAATAATTCAAAAACGAAACAACAACCGACATTTTTGCAAAAGAAGTTGCGGTTCAGAATTCTTACGCTAATTCTGGGACACCCTGTATATCAAAGTCAGAACCCATTTTTACACATGTTCCTATAAGTTTCATTTATAATTTGGCCAAAGGCAATCAGAAATATTCACTGAAACATATATGCTCTGTTATGGTCGAAACGGTTGCAAGATTATTCTCCTTACCCAAAGATTCTCCCTGCAGTCGAGACACCCTAAAAATCCTAAGTATCTTATGATCTCGTGAATCTCGTTATCCGTGCAAACGAGAAACTAAATGCTTAGTCCCGAAAAATCCCTAAAAATCGATCCCTTAAGTAGATTTCCTATCCCAATCGTTTCATCGCATCCTCTGACCTATAAACCAGCCTAGAACCCCTATAAACCAGCTCTGTCTCTTAATTACAGGGTAATGGACGCAATGCTCCGTGCAAGCACGAAGATCGCAGGTGTTAAGTACGGATGCAAGGAGAAACGAGGGACAGGACACGGCCCATTGGCCGCGCGGCGGCAAAAGATGGGAAAGTAACGAAGAGGAGGAGCAATAATACGGGGAACCTTGGAAAACGGCCAAAGTTCCAGCGGCGATGTTATAGTCGTTACGAGGAACGTCTCAGACGTACGTCGTGCGAATGAACACTTTATTCTCCGGCATTGTGGACGCGTACATGCGCCTCGTCTCGATGCGAAGGCACAGTCAGCTTTTATAGGCTACGAAGAAATCGATGAGCAGCGCGAGAGACTGTTCCGCTCTTCGTTGATCGCCGTCGACGCAACCCTCTCGCCTCTATCCCCCGTGCAAAGTGGATATGAAGAGTATCTTGTCATTCGGGCACAACTTGTAATTCCCCTCGCCCTGTACATACAAAATTTCCATAAAATGGTTACTCCTTTTATTCGTGCGCGATGCTGTTTGCCTAAAATAACGAAAAAACTTGTCGTAGCCTATTTGCGTGCTTTTTAATTCCAATATTTCTGGAGTTTATTCTCATTGTCGTTAATCGTCTACTTAGGACGATATTTTCCTAATTGTACCAGTCAGAACAAAACTCAAACAGAAAGTATCGACGACGATACATTTTCTACAATAAAATTCTTAAATTATTATTTCATTACGATTTTTAATAAAAAAAAAAAAAAAAGTAGCAATTGATACAATTACAGTTGCAATTAGTTTTGTCAGGTATCATTTTACCCGAACGCAGTGCCGCCGTAAAATGTTGAATTTTTAAAAAGAGAACCCGGTGCGTTACCGTGGTCGCGCGAGCAGCGATCCCGGCGAGTTACAGATAGACGGGTGGAAAAGTGTCTGTTCGGCTTTTCAGCGGAGAATCAACGAACGCGCGCCAAGCCATCCGCTTTAATTCGATCCTACAAGCGACGCCGACGTAGGAACGACACGACGAATTTGTCGAATCGCGAACAAGCACACGCAAAGAGGGGGAGGATTGCGGGAGGAAGAGATGATACGAGGGAAAATGTGCGAGCCCGCGGCCGGGACGTTGCTCTCGCTTTTAATTTACGAGTCGAAAACGACGAAAAACGGAGCAAGAGGGTTCGGGACGCGCGACAGACGAGGGGTGCACGGCTAGAAAAGGACAACGGCACGCGTAAGCTCGTCCACGGTGACGTGGCTGGCGGTAGGGACGAGGGATGGAAAAAGGAGAAGAAAGGACAAGGAGCCGTGGCAGTCGAAGCATACGAGAGAAGCTTCGAGAAACGTCGGTATTATCATAATAATGGCTGAAGCCATCATCTTTCCCGTGTCTGCTCCCTGGCCTCCTCGCTCCTCGTCCGTCCGCCAAACCCCGTCGCAGCTTCTCGAGGTTCTTTCTCCTCGAGGGTGCTTCGGGAAGCACGTCCTAATAGCGCTCGCGTTTTGTACATTTACAAATTTAAAATGATAATTTCGCCGTGGGTGTGGCGTGCCTTTGGGTCATTTGCGCCCTTTCACGACCGCCGCCGTTCTCTTATTTTCTCCGCCCTCAGTGGCGGGTGTTACGGTAACTACACCCGTGGCTCGATTATGCGAGCCGCGGTACGAAAAGAAACAAAAAAAAAAAAAAAGAAAGAAAAGAACCCACGACGAGATACTTTCGCCGGACGTTTGTCAGATGTCGCCCGCAGATGCGTCCCGCGATTACGGCGAACGAGCGTTATCGCATTTCGAGCATGAAGAGATTCAGAAAGCAGAGATGGGCGAAATATTTACCTAGTACGTCGAGTGACGAATACACGGGGTGAAGTACTATCTTTCGTTTCTTTTGATCGCATGTATTAAAGTTATGTATTAAATTGTATTTTATGTAATCGAATAAATAGTCGTGCATTTGGTTTTATTCGTTACCCACTTTTCGAATAAAATAATAACCCAGTTCTGTCTGGCTGCGTCCATATATGCGTTTTGATCAAATCTGCGTTAGGAATGAACACGTGGGATACTCGAAACGTGTAACGTATACTAAGTGTACACCTCGTCTCTGATGCGAATATTACTTCACTTACCAACAATTCCCAGTCAGTATCGTTCACGAGAACCAAGATTCCTGGTCGCCTGTACACATAACAGATTACATTAGTAAGGTATGCAGTATATTTATGTACTGGTTTATAACGTTACAATGTAGTAATTAACTAGCCTTCTTGTTTGAACTTTAAATTATCACAGTTTTCCCGGTATTTTCGGTCAAACGAATAGCCATCTAGCGGTGAACGCCCCGAACTATTTTCCGGAGTTTGATCAGCGCCTCTATCGGGAAAACCCTCAAGTTTGTCCTCGATAGTTCCTATTTGTACTGCTAGATGGCGCTTTTAATAACGTTTTACCGACCTACGATATACATTCATAATAATGACGAATTCTATTTTATTAAGTTTATATAAGTAAAATTGTAGTTATATTAGAGATATTGCAACAATAAAATTGGCATAGGAAATCATTCTTTTTTCTACCATTGTCGGTAATTATATTATAGTGGTGGCATCTAACGTCGAAAATGGGAACTATCTTCGCTAGTAATTAAAGAGCAGATAATTATCGCTGCATTACATAACTACTCATAAAAATGATAAATTTGACATACTAGCTAATATATTGTAGCGTTATAAACCACAGAATCGTATCAGCCATTCATTTATGAAAAAAAGAATAATTTACTAAAACGATATCTGTGGCGCCATCTTACAGAAACAATAAGAACTATATTTACTACAAACTTGGGCCTTTTCCCACCGATGGCGCCACTAAAACCCGCTCACAAAGCGGCTCAGTGAGCGGTGACCTTCCCGGAGTTATCCATTGTGTTTGTAGTGCTACACACGTGTCATTGTAAACTTTACGCGTATCTATCACGAAATCTTTCCGGTGTATCATTCATTCTTAATTAAAATGCTTACAGCACCGGTATAGAACTATCGAATGAATTTGCTTACTTACACAGTATTTCCTTGCATAAAGAGTTCCAGTCGCTCTTTCAGAAGGTTATCTTTTATCCAGAAGAGCAGCCTCTGTATCGTCCCTATAACATTTCACGTAGCATATTAAGAAATCCGATCGACAAGCATTCGTCAAACTTACATTCATTGCCAGGTAAGTTCACGTCGTGCGTTTTCTTCTTGTCGAAAAGTAGTTCCGCCCCGCCCCTGAAATTATTTAGCGGGTAATTTATTCAACTCGGTACAACGTTACAAAAAGTTGGGTTATGTATAGTTTTCATGTTACCCAAACTCAATGGTCACGGGAATTCCACTTATCTCGGAAGACATGTTATTTTAATTACGTCTGAGAATGTTACTCTGTAAAATGATGAGCTATCAGCGGCTAATTACAGTAAACAAACGTTCACCGCGCATAGAAACAAATGTGTCGATTCCACGTTCCTTCGATTCAGCTGGCCAGTAGTGTACGATGTACGAGTCGCACGCATTAATTTTCAATGCTTGGAATTTGTTTAAAAAAGCTATCTCGTTCAGAGCATTCCGATGTTTCTTTTTTTCAAATTCTCATTCCGTTTTGCAAGAGCATGCGCACAAGTCACAATAATCGACAAACCGTATTTCTACTTGTCGTTGAATAAAAAGTAACACGTCTTTTGCGAAACTGTAAAGCGTATGTCACAAATACATTAGCAGTATTTAAAATGAAAATAAATAATGACTCAAATAGATATTACGAACGAATATGTAACGTGAAGCTTAGAGCAAGTGCCCTTCGTATTCGTCTCGCAATACATCCCTGTAGATTCGCGGGTCATTAGTCTTGCAAAAATTATACATAAAATTGTGACATAAACGTTGCGTTTTCGTGTATAATAATTCTATGAGATATGATAATTATTATTTAATCGTCTTACGAAAACGTTACGCATATTTAAGTAAATGTACGATCAAAGAGAGTTATAAAAGGTGAACGTTGCTAACGCACTGAAATGCAGGTGCCATCAGCGGCAGCCGTAATGGCGGTCATCGAAAAAGTGTGATAGCACGCGTTAAATACCCAAAACATCGAATAGTGCGCAGTCAATGCGCATTTGCGTGATTTCGAGGTCCTCGTAAGCGTAAAGTCTCGGCATAATTTTAATATTCATAGAATTCGATATCAACTTGCACGATGTCAGAAGAAAACGAACATACTTCGGAAGAAACCGATACAGAAATGAATTCGAGAAATCACACTAATGAACAATCGAAGAGTGGAGTAAGCATGTTAAACAATGAAACAGAAGAGCCTATGTTGGACGACGAAGAAATGCCGACGTATCTCAGTTTATCGAGTCCGTCGGGGCGCGAAGGCAGAAGTGTCAATAATACAAAAGAACAGGACAGAATACCTATGGAGGAGGACCATAGTCGAAGTCCTTATCCCAGTGACGATCAAGGGGGTGGCAGTATCTATGTATTATCTTCAGGGGAAGAAAGTACTCAACCTTATGGTGAAGATGAAGACGAATATGCAGATAGCGATGGTAAGTAAGGAACAAAAATGTTTGACGATGATACGATATTTGATATCCTAATTGCTACTGTAATCATAGATATGTATGAGATGGAGCTTGAAAATAAACATAGAAATGTAATCTTAGATGATGAAGACGATGAGGATGAGGACGATGAGGAGGATGATGAACGACATGCTTTAAGAGAGATGTACAATGATGAAGATATCAATACAGAGTACGATCAAGATTGTTTCGATAGAGCTTCTGATGATTTTGTTTTAAACAACAGATTAAAGCAGCATCACAAAGAGAGAAGTTTGTCGTTGCAAGACTTGAGTTTCAGTAAAGACAATGTTCTGTATAATAAGAAGAGGCATAGTGTTAATGTCACGCATAAAAAACTATCAACGCCAAAGTTTCAACATGTTGAAAGCAAAGTAAAACAATATATAAGAGACATAAAAGAACAAAATAGAAAATCCATAGAAAAGCGTATCAGAGACCAAGAATATATATCGAGTAAACATTATAAGGATAACAAAAGTAAGAAGTATATTTATTTTATTAGAATTTGGGTATTTATCGAAAGATAAAATTGTACTATCTTCCATACATCTGAATGTCCAAATTCTAAAGTAATTAATAAATCCTGAATTATAAACAATTTTTGTTTTCTTTTTATAGACAATGACACTGATCCCTTAAAGCCAATGGTAACTACCAAAGTCATAAAAGACTACGCGGAAAAGGCTATTAAGAATTTGCAACGCGAAGAAAATGAAGATTGTAATCCAGTTTATAGGACGACGCAAATAGGAGAAAACGGTGACACTACGAAAATTGATATTAAAATAATAGACAGCCAATATATACATATTCGAAAGGACACTGAACCAAACAAGTGCAGTGACATTCATCATGAGAAACGTATACAAAGCTACGACGAAAAGTTAGAAAAACAAAATGGTTCTGTAGATGTTAAAGAGCATCGTATTGAATTACAAAATACTTCTAACGAGAATGTTAGATTTAATAAAGTAGATCAACCTTCTTTAGTTAATGGTCATCAACAAACACCTACACTTTTCAATTTACGTACATTGAGCTATGAAGAATATATGGATAATGCTTTCAATGCCACCCAAAAGGTATTAACTGAACAAAGACGCAAGGTTCAGGAAAACGCTAACGAATCTGAAACATACAATGAAGTAGAGATGGTGAGCGCGCCAGATACCAGTAATACGAGCTGTTCACTGAAAATCGAGAATGTGGAAAGTATCAGATCAGCAGAGGAAGAATCAGCAAATATAAATGTCGCAAAAGAAAGTGCAACAGTGGGAACAAATGCAGATTGTACCGAAGTAATTCTACTTAAAGCTCAACTTTCGCAAAGAGACGCTCAATTCGATCAGTTACGAAAAGCTTATCAAAAAGCATTAGAAGAAAATATGAAAATGAAAGTAGAAATAGATATTGTAAAAAAGTCGTTAGCAAAGTATGAAAATGAACATAAGACATGCAAAATGAAAGTAGCGTCTGTGCAAACCGAAACTACCGTGGAACCTATGATTAATCCAAAAATAATTACAACTACAGGAGACACAAGTAATAAAGTATCTACTAGTAGCGTTGCATCAACGATAAGTTCTATTGATCATTGGGCAGACAGCGCTTGTAGTCCAGCTATATCTATTGAACCACCCAATGTGACATCAATTTTAAATTCCGACGATAGCATAGTACTCACCGATGGTACTCCAAGGAAATTACCACATCCATTGTCCCGAGCATTCATTACTTCGTCTCGAATATTGCAGACTCTTTCGAACATAACGCAAAATAAAGCAAAAGTTGAAAGCCCTCTAGCAAGGAATCCCAAGAAACGAACAAACGAAAATTTAACAAACCAACCAATAAATTTAGACTTTAATTCTCCAATTCAAGCTTCAAATTCCAAAAAACGAAAAGCGACGGATATGCTCGGTACTTCTACTTCGAATCAGCCATATAAAATACCTCATACAAACAACGAATCAGAGAAGAAAAATAATCCTGATGCAGCTGATGTAGAAGTTAATTATTCAGAGGTACAAACAAATGAAAAAACAGAGCAATCGCAAAATAGATCTGGTTATAAAAATATCGATAGTAGTTCAATATCTATGGAAAATCAAGTAGATGAAACTAACGGCCAAGATGACAGTGTAAAATGTTTCTTATACAGGGAACATGAAAATAGCGTAAAAAGAAGTTTCTTAATTCAAGCAGAAGAACCATCAAAGGATAAATCAGACGACGAGAAGAATCATATCCAAGAATGTGGTCCATATTTATTGGGTAACCTTGAAGTAAGAATGTCTGAAATCAATGGCACAATTAGCGTTTGGGGTAAAGAAATAGGTGACGAATCTGTAAGTGATAACGAAGATGACATAGAAGTGTCTATGAAATCGACTGAAAACAAATTGTGTTCTTGCTGGCAAAAATCACCACAAACTAGATTTAATGGCAACTCGATTGTGTGTTCGACTAACAAAAAGTCAAAGAACCCGTTTAAATTTAACAGATCTCAAGTTTCTCAATGTCATTACAGTTTGTCGCCAAGTACAGCAAAATCGCATGTTCTAGTTAACGATGCAAATGATAAAAAATATGCAAGTAGTCCTTTCACACCGAATGCGTGTACTTATTCTTGCGGAGAATACGATTCCACGAAACAACGCAAAGAATGTCAGACATGTAAAAGTACTATACGTTCACAAGAGAAATTACATTCCTGTAGTGCACATCATACAGAATTCTTAGAGAAAGAATGTCACTGCGGATCATATCATGAAACACGGACACGCAACGATTGTCCTAATCATAGTAAAGATAAGTGTCATCGCATCAAAGGAATTCGGAGGAATTCGTGCAAAAGTACATTTACACCCGATTCAAATGGGCACTTGGACGAAAATATAACGAATACCTCTACCGAAATAAATGAAGTATTTTGCAAGTACAATAAAATGTGTCGAAACTCTCCTCAAAATATAACTGATAATAACCCGCAGCCACCAAACTGTTGCAATACTCTTACGAGTACCTCTTACACGCGTAAATCTTCTTTAAACAATACACACGATCACGATAGCTCGGAAGGACAAACATGTAGTCATTCTCCTTCTCACGAAGGCGAGGACGATCTTCTAATTCCACACAAGCGATCTAATGAAACACCTGAAGTAAGATAATGCAAAATAATTGTCGATCTATCTAATAAATGCATTAGAAATTTGGTATATCGCTCTAATACTTGTTTTGTGTACGCAGACGAGACAACGAAGATTAAGCGGCAGGAAGGTGCGAGGAATTCTTATGGATCTCTTAAGAGGATGTGGAGATTGTCGCAGCACTAGTGACAATGGTGCAAATAAAAGTAGTTTCCAGCACAAAGGGTCATCGTCGTATATACCAAACGTTCCTCAAATTAAGATTTCTCCTTGTACACTCGAGCCAGCATGTTCGAGTTCAAAGCAATGCAACGACAAGTAACTTATTTTGTTAATATTATCATTAAAGTATGGCGTGGGGAATAAATTTGTATTATTTGTATAATTCATTACTTACAGATGCTGTCATGCATATGCACGAAGGATCGAATCTCAACTGGAAGAGTTCCGTATGGAAATGGAAAGAGTACGATCGCGCTCGGACGCTATCCTCGATATGCTCAATATGCTTCACTCTGTTGATACAAACTAATGGAACTAATATTACTTTTAAATAAGTGCTTTTTTTCTTGTACAGGTCATTAATTTTAATTTTCTTAAATCAAGATGTGCGAACTATCGTGAAGCTTTCTTATTTACTTCTTCGACTTCATTGCATATAAAAATTACATGATCAATTTATTAAATAAAGTACATATACGTCGAAAAACTAAATTATTACATTTCATCACACGCATTGCTCTTTTTATGTTATAACAGATCAGTTGCGTCTGAAAATTTTTATGATTTTCATACCGTGGAAAATAATATTTACCATTTTTTAAAGAGTTTATCGATAATGGAATGATCACAAAAACCCAGACAATTTTTGTTACATTCTAGTTGGGCAATATAATTTATACGAGTTTACAATGAGATTGATCGACTTCCTGTCAGTGGTTGCAGTCGCAAGAATCAAATCCTGGCCCAGCCTCGCCAGGCAAGACACCAGGCGGTACCTCTCCTTGACCCTTGAAGATGTTGCTATAAGATGTTTTCAAATAATTTACGTGACCCTGCAATGACCTTATACGGCCTTGAGCCTGTTCAAACGCCTCGTTTAGATTGTTTATTTGGCCTTGCATCTTCTGCCGAATCTATAAATCGCAACGTAACGTATGAGCTGCATTTAACATTCATAAAGTAAATAAAACTTTCAACAACGATTTACTTCATCTCTATCTTTTTGCGCAGCTCGCGCGGTAGCTCTGCATTGTGCCAATTGTCTTTCCATTTCCGCGATTTGGCCTTGCATCGATCTTCTTATAGTTTCACATCGTTCTTTCGTCCTTGCCACCTGTCTCGCTGAATCTTCTCGAACCTGTTAAGTAAACAACGCATTAAAACTACTTTATTCCACACAAGGATAGAGAACAATAACGTACTTGATCCAGCATCGCCGTTAATTGAGTAACTTCGTGCATCTTCTCGTCGATGCGTTTCTGTAACTGGGCCTCGTGTTCCTCAAATCTGGCAAGTGTATTTTTCATACGTTCATTTTCATGCCGTAACTCAGAGTTTCTTCTTTCCAATTCGTCGAACCGCCCCGATCCAGTGCCCCTTTCATCCTGTAAATAATACGCAGGGGTAATGTTTCGAATGTCTGATCATTCTGAAGGACAACTGCGAAGACAGTAACCTGGATCGCTTGGTACTCGCTACGCAAAACGTCCAACTGGTTTTGCAAAGTTTGCATTTTATCTTTGCATCCTATAAGCTCCCGTGAGAGATCCTCGCAGTTTCTCTCTGCGACCAGGCGCATTTGTTGCGCTTCCTGTAGCTTCACTTGTGTTTGTTTCAAAAGATCAGGTAACGGGGCAAGCTCGGCAAGCTTCTCTTGGAATTGATTCTATACGAAAAACAGCAAAATGTCTATGCGCCAACAGACATACACATGTAATTGATTACACACTTTAACTCGACCGATTTCTAACGTCACATTCTCGTTCATTCGAGCGTTATCCATCTCCATGAGATCGAGTTGTCGGCGTTGCTCTTCCACTTGTTGTTGCGCCTATTTGTTTTAATGGTCATTTTTATATGTACCTATGTAGAAACTTTCAGAAACTATGTATTGATAACGGAAACCTGTAAATATTTATTACGATAATCCTCGAGCTGAGCAGATTGATCTTGAATCAAAGATCGTAATTCTTCGAGTTCGTCTTGGGCTTCCCGAAAACGTTGTTTAACCACGATCAATTGTTGCTCCTGTTCGACCATTTGCTCCTTAAAACCTGTCGTTAAATTGACAATGTAGATCACCGAAATTTATGTTTGACAAAATTCAAGATAATCACCTTCGTATTTGTCTTTTTCGGATTCGATCGCTTTCAAACGTTCTTGAGCGTCTATCAGTTTGATGTCTAATTTTTCTTTCTCTTCGATGGCTTCGCGTGTTTGCTGCTTCATTTTTTCTGCGTCTGCTCTTAGACACGAAACCTCGCATAGTTTGTTTTTGTAATCATCCTGAAGGCGTGCGTATTGCTCGCGAAGATCACGTAACTGTTGCTGAGGACACGTGCTAGCGCCCTTTTATTAAATAGCTAGTTTAATAATTGTTTAACGCGCGTTAAACTTCCTGCTGAAGTTCAATCTTACCATAGGTGCATTTGTACAAGGACCAGTACAAGTTGAGGAAGGCGCAGGTGGCATCTGTATATGATTTAAAATATATCAATTTATAAGGGATCGAAAACCCTAGAGTAAAAGAAAATGTGAACAGAAGGATGTCAAAGTTGTACGTGATAAATGTCTACATTATACTGTACATAATTTAATAAGAGTCGTTACATTTAATTAGCAGTGATTGTGTAAAATCTTATATGAAATAATCATATTTTAAATGTGGCCTATGGACTTTCAATGATAAATTACGTACAGAATAATGTTACATTTTGTACGGATTAAAAAAAAAAGACGAAATCGTTATAAAAATATGTTTATTTCATACAAAATTTTTGATATTTAACATTTCTTCAACGTGATTCAAGGTTCAAATAGAATAGTTACTATCGATCCCGATCTCCAGTGGCATGACAATTTTTATAACAAATGGTGTACCGATCAACTAACCCGTTGCGTAGGTTGACGCAACGAAGGTGATCAAGATATTGTTCGGATACCTTGACAAGAGGTACGGGAGGTGGCGGTAGGATTGGTACAGGTGGTACGTAAGGTGGTGAACCCGACGATGAAATCATAGGTGGAGGAGGACAGCAACCACATGGCGCACAGGGACCGGTGCATTTCAGCAACTTGCGTTGTTGCTCCAGTTGCTGACGTTCTCGCTGCACGTTAGCAAGTTCTATCTGCATGTTGCGTACTTCGCATTCTATATTGCCCAGCTGTTGTTCCTAGAATTGTTGTCAACGCATAAGTATGTAAAATTGGAGCAAAACTCAGTTATGAGTAATTATGTAACCAAGTTGCCCAGCTACCAGTTACATAATTACTCATAATTGCTTAGAGCAACAAGCGTGTCCCTGCGACTCGTTCATTAAGACTCAATTATGTTTTGTAGATGTACTATCTGTTTGGTGTTGGTGCCATAGGATGCAAGTTGGTTCTCCAGTTCCGCGGGACACGTCCCTCTCGGAGGTGGACACGGCTGGCATGGCGGCTTAACAGCGGCTGGACTGCGACAACACATTCCGTCGACTTGCGAAGAAGCACTGCTCTCGGTACAAGCTTTTGTTCTTGACGCGCCACCCGCGAGTCTAGGTGAATCTGTGAACATTAACGATGAAGTGTCACATTCTTGTAAAATCCGTCACTTGCTGTTATGGAAACGGAATGTCTTTTGACGTGGCTCACCTCCGCTAGATAAAAATGCTTGACTATTCTGATTCACTGAAAAACGATTAACAGAGCTTTATTTTTACTGTTTAGGATTGAGGACTCGTTGTCCAATTGAATGGATATGTACCGCATACGGAATTGCCTCGCGGTGACAAACTGTCAGCGAATGGTGGCTGAAGGCAACACTTGCACGGACAGTAATCGTCGTCCTGCTGCACCGTAGTGGTGTACGAATACGAACGAAAAGGAGACGGGCTTGATGTTGGAGAGGTAATTCCACCTGGACAAGTGTAACAACAAGGACTGGTGATCTGTTGACTCAAGCAAGCTACTTGACGACTCAATTCCGAATTCTCCTTCACGACTATTCTCATTTCAGCCTGTAGTCCGCATACCTTCCTCTGCAGGCTCTCGACAGCAGAGTCTTTCTCCAGTAATGCTTCTTCTAATTTATATCTATGTACCAAACACATTAACTTCTATCACAGACACGAGATCATTTGACTTATGTCAACATGATTAATTTTGTCAACGATAAGGGCTGCGTGATCGTTGTTAGGGAAACGTAATTGATTTTCATATTTTCTTTTCATGAACCATCTATTATTTCGTACGAGATATCGGGTGTTCAGGATAAAGACTCTTACTTGCCGCCTTCGAGTTGCGCATTCTCTATTACGAGTTTCTCTTGCATGGTTAACGATTCCGTTAATTTTCCAGTTAGATTCTGGAGCGATCTGTCCTTGCCTCTCTTTTTGCTGTCTGCTACGACAATTTTTGGAATTTCATCTTCCGTATATCCACAAACGATTACTCTTGGAAGTCTAATTACACGATAGCAAATAAAATATAACTTGCATAAAGAGGATAGCATTCATGCAACACGAATATTGACGTTGATCACGTACTTGTCTTCCGGATAATCAATTTGAGGTAGATCAAAAACATCTTCCGGCCTTTCCTTCGACACTCCTATATCTCTTTTACTGGGTACTTTCCTGAAAGGATCTGCATCTTTAATACCAATTTCCACTTCTTCTTCAGCAATAACCTGCAACCCAGTTGATTACATTCAACGTGCCAGCAATGTTTCCTTGAAATTTTGTACTTACTTGATTTCATTTTAAAACTGTATAATATCATGGTAACACTCCTCATAATATTATCGTTTATTGCATGATAAAATTGATTATTTTCTTACTACCGAAAAGAACCATGAAAAATACTTGAAAAGACAAATCGACTAATAGTATTTACTTCGTGCTTTACTCGTTTTAACAGTTAGTATGTACCCCGCTAGGTTTCGAGTGCGGATACGGTAGCATGTCGAACATTTTCGAAAAGGTGACGCTAGAGAAATCGGACAAGCCCAGCGAACGTTGCACCTTCCTGGTTATCTCCTCGAATTCTGCCAGCTTCGACATGATTTCATTCTGCTTCGACTGAATCGCCATTGTGTCCTCCGCCGTTAAATCCTTTTTCTATAAAACGACACAACGATAGCAAATAAACGAAACACCTGGAAGTTAAACGAGTGTCGAGATATATTTTAGAAGGCATTACCACGGTGAGCTGAGATATTTCAAGTTTTAATGTTTCAATCTCTTTCGCCAGCACAGCGCAACGTTCGTCTGCTTTCTTCAGTTCTTCCTGTACAGCGGAGTCTGTCAAAGGAGATGAGCTCAACACGGATTCCACTCTACCACCAGGCTTGATCGGGACACCTGGATAAAAAATACGTTAATCGAATTAATTTTAAGTAATTAATCATTGTATACTAAAAGAAACTATTTCTCTCAGGTAAATTTTGATCCATTATGTATTATAATTCTGTTACAAGGGGTGCACCTTCACCAACACCAGGCGGAAGCGGATATTCTGGAGGCTGGCCTTCTTCAAACTTCTCTGTAGCCCCATCATCGACTTCATCTACCGCTGCATTGTCCTCTTCTTCTGGTACAGTTTCCTCTGGCGTGTCACCCTCGACATCTTCAAACTCTTCTTCAGCAACTTCTTCTAACGCTTCTCCCTCGTTTTCAGCCATGCTGAAATGAAATTAATTTAGCGACGAAATAACTGCCGACACATAACTGAAAATTAAATGTATTTTACGTCGATAATGTCACTTCTACTGTACTTGGTCTTCCCTTCTTTTCAGATTCCTTTGGCCTTTCAACGTTTGGGTCCTCCTTGATATTTTCCGCTTTATTTTTGTAATCGTCGGTTTCATAAACCTACCAAACGTTCAAAATTAATTTCTGAATTAATTTCACAATTTAATACCAAAATCGCACCCGTTTAAGAATGTGCGGTTCAAGGTCCGTCCGTTGTCGCAAATGCAGCGAATCTGTGAGGTTCTTAGAATTCTGAACCTTTTCCGACGCGAATGGAAAAACGTGCCCCTCTTGATAGCATTCGACTGTTATCGAGAATACTTCTGGTAAATTCAAGGGTTTCTTGAGGTCGAACAAAGATTCCAATGAACCAAAGACATCCCTCTTCAAGGACGACTCGTTGCAGTTTGCGTTCTTCTTTTGCGACTTCGGCCCGTAGCGTTGCAAACGACGACGCTTCAAATCGTAAGAGCTTCTCGTTGTGATAGGAAAGCTGTCGAGTTCGCGAGCATAAAGAGACGTAGGTGAACTTCCTGGAGAACGGGATATGTTCAACGTACACGGTCGCCGCTTCTGAAATAAAAAAATTTAAAAAAAAAAAGATACAAAAATCAATACAAGTAGTATAACAATTCTTTTTTTAATGTTTAACGTATTTAGGTTTATGAAAGGACTTGAAGTACTCCACGATGTTCGTGGACTTGTAATAACAAAAGTACAAGGACGAGACTGATAAGGATATGATTAAATGTACCTGGCGAACAACAAAATTCGATCACCTTCTTATTTTCCTAACTACTAGTCAAATTCCAATTACTTAAAAACATCTAAAAAATGGTTAATATTTTACCTTCATTATTTTACCTTCGAAACAACACCGTTGCTTCACTCAGTAACGCAGCTTCTTTTAAAAGAATCGTAAGTTAGGAAACGACACGATCCCCTTCCCTGGTTTACTCAGTGAAGAATCGGCACTGATATCAAATAGGGTCGAACGATTTCTTAGTTTTTCAAAAATGCCTTTTTTATGTAATTTTCGTAGATGTCAAAACTGCAATAGATAATATGTTTGATGTGTTAACAGTCGTCGAAATTAGGAGGAAGTCGAGGAAAGATTTTTTTTTTATACCGATCGTGACACTTACTCGGGAGAACCATCAATTTCTTCGAATAAGGATCTGAAGCATGCGTCTTTTATTTTTATGTTAACATAGCTACATATTCGATTTATCGTTTATATTCATGACATGTAGATAATTTAAATACTTTAATCCTTACAATGATTTATGTTGAAATTACGAAACGATATAACAGTTACATACATCGTCGATAAGTTATTGCATTTTTTCATTTGATTAAAAAATATACAATAATATTTTACTTGTGAATGAAATAACATGCTTTTTTTACTTAAACCCTGTAACAATACATTACATTTTGCACATTTAAAAAATATTCTCATGACTTCTTTGACAATGATCAGCAGAGAAATTTAGCGAGACAAATATATGTTAAATTAAGATAAAAATTGATGAAGAATAATTATTATTGAAATCAAGTAACACTGTAAAATGCCAAGCTTATTTTGTGCAATGTAAACACATACTTTTGAACGAATTACCGTAATACATTCGTTCAAAAAGATCAATCGAAAATTCCGCTTATGTGTAAACACTATTGTTGTTGTCTTCGATATATTAATTTTATTTGCAAAACGGAAAAGATGTGAACATATGTTTTGTGAAAAAGAGGTCTTGTCGATTGAAATAATATTTTTATTGCATTCATACGGAAATATTTTAGTTTACATTTTGGTAAAATGGAGGTTATGGACTACAGTAAGTGTTTATATTAAATCATTTAAATATAGGACTTATAATAAAATATTATAATTGTAATTTTTATATGATTGCATATATACATAAATAAATATAATTATTGCAATAGATCTGTATTTTTTTGTATTATACAGAACACAAATTTTATACATCATTTTCTGTATATAAACGAGAGTATAAAAGTACATACAATTTTAGCATATAAACAATAAATTAAGAATATATACGAATTTATTATAATTATATTGGATTTATAATAGTTTGAATTGAATATTGTAGGTGGTGAAGCACCAGAAATTGAAGGTGCCGATGAAGATCATTCTGAAGAATCAGATAATAATGACAATGATGGCAATGCTGTAGAGATTGCAACTCCGATAGAAATCCCAGTAGAAGATACAAGTGAGTAATTTTCTTCAAGTCATGCATGTCTGTTATGTTTACTTATAATTGTGTCATGTACGTCTGCTATTTTAGAAAATGATGATGATGATGAATCAAAGGCAAAGAAAGCTAAAGAAACAACTACAGATGAGTCTGAAGTTGATTCTGATCAATCTTGTCCCATATGTATGGATCTATGGACTAGCTCAGGAGAACATCGTTTGTGTTGTTTGCGTTGTGGGCATTTATTTGGACATAGTTGTCTTTTGAGATGGTTACATTCTTGTGCTAGTGCAAATCGCCGTTGCCCCCAGTGTAATAGGAAAGCTACTGTAAAAGATATTAGAATGTTGTATGCCAAGAAATTAACATCTATAGATACCTCAGAATTAGATAAATTAAAAGAACAAGTAAATAAAGTAACGACTGAAAAAAATCGTATAGAAATGGAATTGTCAAAGTATGCTCTAAGACAAAAATTGTTTGAACAACAAGTAGCTAGTATGCAGAATCGTATAACTGAACTAGAAAGTCAACAATTGGAAATAAGCATTCATTCTAATCAAAATATTTCTAAACATATGGTTAAAAAATTTCATTTAGATCGATCTATAGAGATATGTAAAGATGGTGGTTGCCGTGTATTAGATTATAATCCTTGGTATGGGTTCCTAGTTGTATCTCAGAAATCGACGAACGCGTTATTCTCCGGTTATGGCATTAAAAAAATTGATTCAGAAAAGTTTCAACCACGTCAATTTATTTTTTTACATTCTCAAGCTATAAGAGATATCATGTTTAACGCGACCCAGCAGTCATTATTACTTAGCGTTGGTTTTGATAAATGTGCAAAATTAATGGACATTCAGAATCACATTATCGTGCACACTTATCAAACGGATTATCCATTGTGGAGTTGCTGCTGGTCAGGTGACAATCCAAATATATTTTTCACGGGTGCACAGAATGGATCTATAACACAGTTCGATATCAGGCAAACCTCTGGTGCTATTGAAACCCTGGATAGTCCGGGCGATAGATCGCCGGTGGTTTCTTTAGCAACAGTACCTTCTAATCCTAATAGTGGTATTAGTAGAGGTGGATTTATTGCATGCCGCTTAAATACATGTTATGCTTATGAACAAAAAGAATCGAAATATGTACCGAAACAAATATTCCTCGAGGGTCCGTTTGTATCAGTATGTTACGATGAAAAAAACAATCATGCGTTAATATCTTCCCGTCCAAATGCCAGGCAACCTCATGCTAGGCACATAGTATGTACGATAGAAAAAGGTAACGATGAAACAGCTATTTGTAATGTTGTACACGCATTTCATGCTGGTAATTCTCAGCAGTTATTGTCTCGACCATGTTATATAAATGTTGAAAATGATACATTAGTCGCTGCGCATCAAGAATCCACCAGTAGCATATCGCTATGGAGTATATCGACGGGAAAACAAATAAATAGTCTTCCTGTATCTGACCCTGTTGTGGATATGTGTGCAGTCGATGTTAATAGTAATTTATTTTTAGCAACGCTTTCCGCAAAAAAGGTTAGAATTTATAGTCATGGATAAATTTTATTATTAGAAAAATAACAAATGTGTGTAAAAACAAACGCGATGCTTGTATTGCCTAATCCATGACCAAAATGTCTTTCACATATACATCGTAAGCTTGTAATTTAAGACATGTATGATAAAACTACTGATAATGCATTTCCTAATTCCAAGGCTGAATAATATTTTTTTGTACGAGATCATGTGATACAAACGTTTGTAAATAACATAAAACAAACATTTACTCCAAGTCAAGCACAAGTTCATTTACTTTTGACAATACAAAAGTTCTCTGCATGCATAACTTGAACTTACGAAAAATAGTAAAAATAAATTTAAAAGTTACCATTAGTTAGTTAAATATTATACGTATCCTTATTAGTAGACTAGACTGATCTGAATAATATTTAAAAATAAAATAATAATAGTGAAAGTAAGTATACTGATAAACATTAAGTAACATGGTTGCTAATAATACGAAAAATGTACAGAAGTTAGGATTAATCAATTGTAGTTGTAAGGGAACTTTTGTATAAATACTTTAAATACTAGTACTGAAAAAGTTGTTTATTAATATTTTTGAAATATTAAATTACATCTAGAATGTTTAAAGATGTTGCATCCAATTATTTTCATAAATTAACCCATGTATACCTAAATTTTTGTAAATCTGTGTTTCTAAATCAAACAAACCAAACAGCATTTATAATCTATTAACACAGCCTCTGTATTAATTACTAAAAGATGTAAAAGAAAATTGAAAAATTCCTATTTTAGCACTGCCAGGGACATGATATTGTGTAATTATATTTAAAAGTCTATATAACATGTGTAGGGTAATACGTGTAATGCTATACAAGTAGTGTTTTGAACAAGTTTGCAATGTATTCTACATATGCCGCTATTTTATTAGATTCTATGAATAATTAATTTCTCCTTAAATTAGTTATAATTCAGCTATCCTTCGCAAACAAGACACTTTCATACATAGTACTAAATATTCGTAATAGAAAACCTTTTTTTTTTCTAGATTTGCAACACCATACTTTGTTTAATATTTTTTTTGTCATTAAATTTATTATTACTTGAAAACCAAATTTGCTTTATAACTGTATCCCTAGTGACGTATAAATGCGATTTGCTTTCTGAACGTGGAATGTACATGTTCAGTTTCGAATGCAATAAGCTACATATACATATATATAGTAATGTATACATAAATGACATGGTAATTTATAAAGTATTGAAATACATCCCATCACCGAAAATGTACAAAATTTAAATATTAACAATATAGCATTTATGATTACGATTCTTTTTACAAATATCATTTAACGCTAACAAGTTCTTGTCTATTTCGATAATGTACAATCAGGTCTAATTAAGATAAACCTCTTTGTGGCTTAAAAGAATTTAGAAATTAATAATAAGAATACAAAATGACTAATGTTTTCGTATGAATGTAACAAAGCATAGAACACGAACGTCTATAAAAATAAAAAATATTCATTAAATATTGTGCTATGCAAAAATTAACTATGTATTCAATACATTCTGAAAAAAAATCTATTAACCAATTAATAAAATACAGCTACATAAATGAAAGGAAAGGCCAATGAAAGATTTAAAAATATATAATGATTTGTACAAAGAGATTTAATGAATGCTCAACACATAAAACTACTTTTTTTTTTTCTTTAAAAGAACTTTGATAAATGCATTGCGTACTCCTTCTAACCAATAAAAATTCAAATGTTTAAATAACACGATTAAACTTTTAATAAACGCAAGATGAAAAATGATATTTTTATCATTAAATCCTTCTTTAAAATGTGGCTATCGAGATGGACTTAACAGATTTTATTAATTACTGTTTCTTCATACCTATTTTACAAGTTAAATAAACGACTATTATTCAAGGACATTAAATGAATTTCCTGCAAGTTTTTTTGCCATTGAAATATTGTCGTTACAAGTGCTGAATTTGATTATGAAACTGGTATGGTATCAATAATTGGGTGTAGTGTTACAGAAGTTTTGTAATGACAAAATGAGCAGTGCTTGTATATGACAGATTAACTATACAGTTATCACTAACTGAAGAGCTGCTCGGTGGCACGTTCCAAATCCCAATTATAGGAAGATAAAGCAACCCTTGCATTGTGTTCCTCGATTCCCATATCTGTTAATCGTCTTATTTTGTCATCTAAGTCAGGCATCTTAGCTGGCCCTGAAATAGTTCCAATATTTATACGAAAACGATTATCAATCTTACAGAGAGTTTATATACTTACCACCTGCATACACAAATGTCCAATGTTTAGCAGTTTGACGAAACATTTCTGGGTGTTCTTTATATTGTTTAGCCACTACTGCATCCTGTGGATCATCTGGTTCTGCTGCAGACAATAATGCTTGTAATGATAGCAATACTGTACGCAAGGTCATAGCAGCAGCCCTAGAAATCAATATTTACAATATGTAGTACATTGCATAATATTAAAGCAATATATTAAATAATACACTGTGAATCTACATAGTCACGCACCACTGATCTTTTAATATATCCAAACAAATAGCACCTGTTACTGAAGATATATTAGGGTGCCATATTTTTGTTATAAATCGTACCTACAAGAAAAGATAATTATTTAGGAACTTATAATAGATCATAGAATTGTTGTAAATCAAAACTTTGTAGATAATGCCTTCTTTATGAGTGACAATTTGGAAAATGCTTTGTCATGCTTTAGGTTATAGTAACATGCCTTAATCCTAAGTGGTACAAAATTGATTCTTTATCATTAACATACATTAATCGTATTGACTTACAAAGTGCTTACTTTAGGAGGATTGAAGGGATATGTCTCGGGAACTTTAATCTCGAGTACAAAATTACCTCCCTCGTATGGTGTATCTGGTGGACCAGCAATTTCACCTTTTAATTCAGTTAAACTATCGTTTACAAGCTCAACATTTATCGCACATTTAGCAACCTGCAACAGAATTTGAAACAGTTATCATTAGAAAAATAAGAAATAGAGATTCTGTAAGAGATATATATACTTATAGGAATGAATCAATGACACAATGATATAATTACATACTTCTATTATATATAACTATTCTGTTAATTGAACAATATAAAAATTGTATGATTTTTGTTAAAAGTTACAAAGAGACACCACTTTCATTGGATAAAAGCATTTCACATACAGGATTATATCTATAAATATTAAATAATTTTTCAAAATGTAAAAAAAATTCCACTGACATATCGACACCAATGTTTGATAATAAAACAGTATATTATTGTGTACCAACGGTTTACAAAAACATCATGAGATAAAGATTGTAAGACACTGACGCAATCTCAGACGCAGAAACACATGAAAACATTGCATCAAAGCAGATCTTAATGTGCATATAAAATGGATCTTCTAGACCAGCACGAGACCAATCAAGCGTGCCAGTGCTCTCAGAATTTGAAGGACCATGGTATGTAGTATTTTAAACAGGAATATCATTTAAAAAGAAGGGCAAGTCCATTGAAGACAGATATCTGACAAATATGATTAACATTATCTTTTTAACTTATTGGGGTATCTCTGCAAAGTGCAAGAATTATGCACACTTACCACACCAATTAATTTAAAATAATTAATGTAAGAGCTTGTTAAATGTAATACACTTTACGCATACGTTCGAAGAAGTTGAATAACAATTCTGAAAGTGGATGACAGTCGAGAATACAATACAACAGGTGCCTATGCTTTGTTCGCGGTGATTTTACCAACCAATGAATTGCGGCACATTTTTGTCACGCCACATATGAGATGTATTCGTAACAATATCGTACAATCGAAGGTTGCTGTTAAACGATACAGATAGTACCATTTCCCAAAAGACGAATCGTGGACCCTATAGCGATACAAAGCTATTGTTCACTCACCTCCTCGCTCTTTATAACCTCTTTAAATTCGCGTTTGATTCTCTGTGCCGCGATGTTCGCCATAGCTCCCGTATCAGTGGGACGGTCAGCACACTGTCATCGTCATTCAAATAGATTAACGAAGTTCTCTCAAAGCGTCAACGTGCGCGAACCTTTCAGGTAATCGTACACGAATTCGCTCTCTCTTTCTACTAAGAAAAACGATCGTTCTAACCCCCGTGCTCTATGCCAAAATCTCCGTTCACGGACCATCCAATTTTTCATTCAATCACCGCCGGCGCCACATTGATGGAACAAGTTGACTGTCACCCGCTCGTGTTCACCTTTTTGAATTTCGTCTATATTCACGTCGTTATTCGTTACAGCGCCAAATGGTCATGTAAATGGTCATTTAACAAATCTTCGTTGATACTCTTATCTCTAGCTCGATCATTCGGATTATTTATTGAAGAAATTCTACGTACGTACACGTTCCTGGTGAATCCACACTTTAGTCCCAAGTAGGTTCGGGAAGAAGATTGATTTCACTTTTTCCTATCCTGTTGTCAACAGAGGGGAAAATGTTATTATCAGTAAAAACTTGACACTTAACTTTTTTATGCAATAAGAGTACTTGTACTCGTCGGAAAGGCTTATCTAACAGAGCTTGCCTCATACGTAACGGTATTGATCGTTTGAACGGTCAACAGTTTATTCGAATAATTAATAGCGTCGCGTCTAAGACAGAATCTGATAGATAAGGATTACGAATGAGTCTGAATAGTAGAATCTGAGTTTAAATAGCAGAGTGATTTTTCTTTTATATCAAAGCTAATAGTGTTACCAACTTGTAAACTGATTGTCAAAGCAAAACATTTATTGAATGTATTTTGCTGAATAGAACAGAGGTAAAGTAAATTGTTAGACGTAGAAACAGGAATTTTTCACTATTGAATTTTACCAAAAAGTTATTTTTTTACCATAGTAAATATAATAAAATGTCGATTTCGTATCGATCTTATTTTATTTCATCCTTTTAAATATTGTCTATATTCACGTAGATGTTCATTATGGCGCCAAAATTGTAAATGGCAAGGATTAATCTTCAACTGTATTTGGAAGTTCAACTTGATTATTTAAAAAGAGAACACTATATGAATTCAGATCCAAGAAAAATCCGCATACAAGATTAGAATACGTTTTAAAATAGACACGACGTACAAGAGTCGTATTTTGAAATATAATGAATTCCAGTTTCGTAATAAAATGACCTATTTTCATGTGCCTCTTTGAATTTCGTCTATAGTCACGTCGTTGTTCGTTATGGCGCCAAATTGCAAATGATAATTAACTAACCTTCAGCCTGATTATTCAAATCATTTAGAAAGGAAATTCTACATGAATACATTCATTCTAAACAAATCCAAGGAAAATCCAAGGAAAATCCTAAGTCCCGAGTATATAGTAATAAAACATTAATTACACATTTCTCGCGTGGTATACGAAAATCGTATCGTAATGAAACATCCGAGCAAATTAAATTATTTCATTTATTTTTCAATCGAGTTCAACATCGAAATAAATAAAATGAAATGTAGCTTACATAACGATTTCCATACATACGATTCGAAATAATACTTTGATGCGAAATTTCTTATCGATAATTTTCGTTGAACGTTCGGTTAGATTGCAACGTTCACAACATATGTGATCGTTGACGTTTGCGAAGATGTTATAAATTTTCATGACACGACGAAACAAAGTTGTATGGTTTTAGTCTACTATTTAGTCAATAACAAAAGGAGAAAAAAAAATACATGATAAGAAATGCGTTTACGCGGTTATGTCCGACATTCGGTAGGCGGAGCGTAGCGGTTACGTCACATCCGGCTCGAAAGACGACTTCTGATTGGATAGTCTCTCTGTGATTTCTGTTTTAGTGATGCCTGTGTCCCAGCCAGTGCGTGCTAAGAGTTTGTTACGCGCAAATTTAGAAAATTCTCGCGGACGACTTTTGCAGAGCAGGATGCCAAACATCAAAGTGTTCAGCGGCACATCGCATCCAGATTTGGCACAACGTATCGTCGACAGGCTCGGTATCGACATCGGGAAGGTTGTCACCAAGAAATTCAGCAACCTCGAAACATGGTAATGGTCGCATACCACCGCTAGAACCCACGTTATTGTCAATGAGTTAAACTCAGGCATTGACCACGTGTCACTTGAATTTTCATTTATAGTTTTTCCATCTGCTCTATCTTTGTGCGAAAGACGGAATATTCTCGGCATTTTCATCGTATATTTTTCGTTTTTTCATTAATTAATCAACCCCAGCAATGTGCAAACAACCCTGTCCGCGACAGGCCGGTTTTCCCGTGTTCCACTAAGCTGTAACGTTTAAATTGAAGGTCAACTAGTACAATTATTAATACACCATTCTAATGAATTCTAATATCGAATGTGCTTTATGAGTATCAGCACACGCCGCTGTATCATTTTAACTTGTGTACAATGACGATAAAGATGATTTATTACCGTGTTATTATTTACTTCTGTGTCCGATGTTTGCTTGCATTACCTGCGTGAGATTTAAAATTAATTAAGCTTAAATATGCAACAAAGACTAGGCGTTGATGGAAGAGTACGTAAAGAATATCGATATTACTTTTCTGATTTAAAAAATTTATTAATGAAGCTTTGATACGGTTATCAAAGGTGGACAAAATTTTATTCAAATAATTGATTGTGAAATATAGAAATGTATAGAGATTTATTTGCGTTGCGCGATCGAATGCTTCTATTTTAATTTGTTCACAGTGAAATGTTTTCTTTCTTAGTTCAAATTTTTATACAAGTAACTGATAAAGAATTATCTGTCTTTTATTCATTATTCAAAATGTTATGTAGATAAGAATTTTCATTTTCATACAATTTTGTTATTATATTAGCAATTGTGTAACAGTTTAATTAAAAATATTTTTCTTTGTTATTTTCGTAGTGTCGAGATAGGAGAATCTGTTCGAGGAGAAGATGTATACATTGTACAAAGTGGAAGTGGAGAAGTAAATGACAATTTAATGGAATTGTTGATCATGATCAATGCATGTAAAATTGCATCTGCATCTCGAGTCACTGCTGTAATTCCTTGTTTCCCGTATGCTAGACAAGATAAGAAGGATAAGGTAAGATACGCGAATAAGAAAAATATGTTCATTTTTTATTTAATATAGGATATTGATACAAACTAAGACTGAAATTATTTATACCACTTGTGATCTTACAGTTCTGCCCCCATTATATGGTATCTTTTAGCATATATATGTATGTACTTTTACCATTATATAAAAAAGTATTTGTTGAAACCTTGTGTCAGAAAGTTTCTACTACTTACATTTCGCCAAATTTTAGCTGCATACTCTTTTCTATTTATATATCAAGTACAATAACACTAAAGTGATCCTGTGTCTGATTCTGTTTTGTTGTGATTCTTTCTGTACTCTTTCCAGACAGTAATGTTTCTATTATTTTTCACTTTGAACATTATATTCTATAAAAGTCATTTTATTATTATTTCTTTACAAGCAAATGTATAAAAAAAATATTTTGTGTACGTCTATTTTATAAAATGAATAAATCAAACAAACTGCGCAAATAATTAAAATTCACATAACAACTTATTAGAAACTATGCTGCAATGATTCTAATACCCTAGATCAACATAGTCACCTTGTATGCAATGTATGCCACTGATTAACATGATTGAAACTGCTTTGTGTATACAGATAAAGTGACTACTTCTGTAAGAAAGAAATAGTATAATTACAGTTATAATAAAATAATACAACATACAAATTCTTAATTTAACTACATATATGTGTAGTGTAATGTTCACTATATGTTTATTTTTTCCAAGTAAACATTTATGTATGCAAATGCTTTACATAACAGGTTGTGGTTTGATCAGATTGTTTATACTTTTTGTACGTGTCTAAAATTGAATTGTGAGTCTTGCAATAAGGAAGAATCTTATTCAAGACAAAATATATATTTTTTTTTAATATATCTTCACAGGGTGGTGATGGAGGTGACAACTCAAATTCTAAGAAAGAACAAATTGTCATCAAGACAAACGAATGGAAATTCAGGGTAACTTCTAACGGTCTTTTTATGTTCTATTTATTGTTTTATAGCTTTGTAACAGACCAATGGAGCAATATCATCTTTGGAACGCAAACATGACTTTTCATCATCATATGAAATATGCTTGAAACTTTTTTGCTTATCTCATTGGGTTGTACCAAATGGTACATTTATATTACAGAATATATATTCATTGCATACTACATCATAAATATATTTTTACAAAATCATATCTAACACAGATCAATATTAGGTGCAGCTTTGGAAATATATTGCAGACAATTTATATATTGTATTTAAGTATTTGGTACATATAATTGTACAAGCAGTGTTTTATAATTTAAAGCAATGCATGAAAAATATTTATATAATACAAAGGTATTTACTTGTATTAGTACATTTTCAATGATCATGTAGTAAAGCATGTACATAAAAAAATTAAGGGTATTTATCATTTTAAAAGAATTAATTATTCATTTTATAAATTTCACGAAACATTTCTGAAATTCAAAATACATTTCAATCTTGAACAGAGGAAGTTACACATGTTTAAAACAAATATTTTAGTCATACACATAATTTGCATGGACTAATCATAAAGAAACGTTAATTTCATCTAATATCTCATACAATATAGGACAGTAACTTAAGTGGAATAAAACTTGAACTTGCAACACTCTTTGCTTTCTCTGAAGAAACAGCGTTAATTTCCAGTATTAAAAAGTAAATTAGTGAAGCAGTAAATAACAAATATATTACAAGTCAAAGCATTACGTTTGGTGATAATCTAAGGTTATCAAATGTTGATAGCCTATATGAACATTGTAAACTGATATTAGAATTCATCGAGGGGGGCCTTTTGTGAATTCATATTATAAACTATTGCATTCAATTTGTATTGTTCTATTAAATTTTTCATTTTAGCAAATTATTGTTGCTATAATATATTGAAGATAACAATAGTTACATAATATTATGCATCTGGAAAAAATTATTGATTTGATAAAGATTTAATAGAGCATGCAATAATATGAAAATAATATAATGTTACAGTGAAATGAAAAATAATTATTAAACACTTATAAGTAATAAAATAGTACAATTTTGTTTTTCATAAATGATCTTATTAATACATTTTTAAGTATTTCATAGGTGTTAAATAAACTGTATGGTAAAACTGTTAAAAATAATTCTTGTTAAAAAATTATGATACATGCCTCTAAGTTTCTGAATAGTTGGGTATTTTCAGGATTTTGTGCCCGACCTATCTACAGTGAGTATAAAAGCAATAAAATTGTCGAGTGAAACGTTTGTAACTATAACTCGATGAACAATTCAATTTGTATTATCATTTTTAGTTTCTTACAAAACTTTCTTTGTAGGACTAACAAAACTTATAATTGTGGCTATATGGCACAATGGAACCCCTATGAATGAATGAATGAATGAACTATGTGGTCAAAGCATATTGATATCTGAATGAGAGGGCAAAATATTAATATAATAGCATTCTACATACATTCTTAATAATCTATATACAATACACATAACGGGGTACACATCTGTATGTTAAATGGGTACTAATTATTATGTTGCTGAAAATGTTATTGTCCAAGTATACTAATCAGGAAATGCCTATCTTATTAATGAAATAATGCTTTGGCAAGAAAGAACTGTGATTGTGTTGTCTTGTTAATAGTATGTCATGCCAATGATTTGCAAACAAAGACTTCTATTAAAATCTTAACAATAATCAGCTTTTGTGAAATTTATGCTCACATAGATAAAAATAGATAGTTTTATTAAAATTACTTAATTGTAATTATTTCCCTGAACATAATGCATTTATTATTATTCTATGAAATTTGTTAATTAATATAGTCTTTTATTCCTTATTATATAGTTATTACTTTGGTTGTTATTCAAATTTAAAGATATTATTTTTTATTTAAAGTCAAGAAATCATAATGCACTGTGTTCTGTTTTATACTTATAAATTTGAACTTTGCTTGATTTCTACTTTTTGTTGAGTCTAACTGGGGTGCATTTGCAACACATCGTTTTTCTTTTGGTTTATATGTACATGTACTTTTTTTAACGAATATTTCAGTACATAGCCAGCCATTGTATTCATATTTTGTCCCTCTAAAGAATTAATTCTTTCTTATCTTTTTAACACATCTCTTTCGTAGAACTATATTTGATTGTAGTGACCTTTATTTATTGATCTTTTATAACTTTTCTACGAAAATTTTAACAGCAATTTTTTTTCAAATTGCAGGATATTTCCAGTTGCAAATGGACTTGAGAGACTCGCATAAAATTATGAAATTGAAATTTTCAACTATTTTTTTTTCAGAGTCGTGCACCAATTTCGGCAAAATTAGTAGCAAACATGCTATCGGTAGCAGGAGCTGATCACATCATTACAATGGATTTGCATGCTAGTCAAATTCAAGGCTTTTTCGACATTCCAGTTGACAACCTATTTGCTGAACCTGCTGTCCTAAAATGGATTAAGGAAAATATTGTTGAATGGCGAAACAGTATTATTGTTTCTCCAGATGCTGGGGGTGCTAAAAGGTAACGCATCGAAATACGAAGTTTACTTCAAATAAACATGCCAAATAATGTTCACCTCAACAGAGTCACATCTATTGCTGATCGATTAAACGTTGAATTTGCACTTATACATAAAGAGAGAAAAAAAGCAAACGAGGTTGCTAGTATGGTGCTAGTTGGAGATGTAAAAGACAGAGTCGCCATTTTAGTAGATGATATGGCTGATACTTGTGGTACTATTTGTCATGCAGCAGAAAAACTCCTAGAAGCTGGAGCAACAAAAGTCTATGCGATATTAACACACGGTATCTTTAGCGGGCCAGCAATTAGTAGAATTAATAATGCTTGCTTTGAAGCTGTTGTAGTAACAAACACCATTCCTCAAGATGGCCACATGAAGGATTGCCCAAAGATACAGGTAAACACATAAAATGAATAATTTAAATTTAATAATTAAACTTGCCATACTTTTTAGTGTATTGATGTATCAATGATGTTTGCTGAAGCTGTAAGGCGGACTCACAATGGTGAATCTGTATCGTACCTGTTTTCAAATGTACCGTATTAGACATAAATCTTCCTCATAATGTACTGTATCAAACTGTTTAAGGAGAATGTAGTCTTTTTACATCCGTTTACTGTTATTTTGAGTACAGTCAAAACTAACTTGCCTACAAGAGAAATCTTGAGATAAGCGTTAGTGTCCTATTTTTAAATTGAAACCTGTATGTGCTCGTTTTTTCCTAGATGTGTGTAGGAAGTCAGATATTAGATAGATAAAAAGTATATTGTCCGTTTTGATTAAAAATAACTTGGTAACTTATAGATGCCGACGAACAATTCTCAGAGTGAAATTGTTTACAAAATAATTTTTTCTGGCTGCTGTTTAATATTCAAAACACATTATAATTATTCCGTTTAGGATATAGGTATTAATTACATCGTTTAATTTAAATTGTATTCAGAATGTTAGAAGTATGTTATCGCGATACGAAATGACATTACATTTATCCTGAAAATTACACGTGTAAATCAGGATAAAAAAAGTATTGCAGTGTGTGCAAATAGATATTCATGCAATATAATCACGCCACCAGAGGCATATCCCATTTTTATAGACAAGTGCAAATGACTTGCAATACCTGTGTACAATTTTTCACACAGTAATACAGAGCGTCGAGAAGACTAACTTTTTACAATTCTAATATAATGTGGTATCGTATTTTAATACATTGCGTCCTTACATTCTATGATATAGGAAAACAACGCTGAGGAGACATTTGTATTCTTTTCGACTATCTTTTACTACCACGACTTTTTAAAAAATTGCTATTTATATGAATGTATTTCTATTGCCGAAAACAATTGTGCCCTCATTTATCAGAGAAATATGACATTACAGTCACTCACTTAGCTTTGGACCAATATTATATGAAAATATAAGTCAATACAAATGCAATATTGTTTACATGCAAATTTTTCTTAATTCGATAAAAAGTGCCACCTGTTAATAAATTGGATATTATAATAAATATCTTTAACAAAATACAATTCTAATTTTTTTATTAATATATTGGAAAAATTATATACACAATTATTATTTTAATATTAATACGAACATAGCTTAAAGTGAACGCCCTTGTTATAATCTATACTATGTTTAAGTGTTTGGTTATACATTATTAGGATAGAAGTTATGATTTTGTATGAAATGTAATTGATGCAAATATGCTCAAGTACAGTTACTTCATTAGTTAAATATTAAATTAATTGACTAGTTTAATTTCAACTATTAACTATTGATATATTAACCTATGGTTTATATGTTGCATTATAATACTCAAATTTTATTCTATTCTATTAGATTGTATGATTAATAAATATTTATTGTATTATGCTCTATATAATTGAAAGTAATTCGTAAAAAGGTAAATTAGAAATTAAATAAATACATTAAATAACATATTTCGTGATTGAATTGCGGAGTACTTTGTGCGAGCAAAGCAATAATTTATCATTTAATTTACGATATTATGTGCAACGACTTAATAAGATTTCTATAATTTGCTTGAACACATATTTGTTAAATAATATTAACTATTTACATGCTATTTTACACAAATAAAAAAACCATAACAATATTTTGGTATTTTTGAAGAACAAATTATACGTAATAAATTTAATTTCAATATCTTTTTTAATGTTACAAAGTAAAAGAAACTTGCTTGATTCATAACTTACATCTGTTCTGTAATCTTCATAATTTATAAAGAAAATACCTAGTACAAAAGACTACATAATTTGTAGAAAAATTCATAGAAATGTTACTAATACATGAAACGACCTATTTTTTTTTAAACACTCCTCACAAGAAATGCAATGTGAAATTTATTCCTATACTCCTCACTCTTTATGATTTACAATGACCAGGTGGCAGTGTTACATCAAAAACTACTGGTGGATTACTTGGCAAATAATTTAGATCACATGTTGATGCATTTATATATATTATCTTTCCGTCGGATGAGATACCATATCCTGTTACAAACACAATAATATGTAATCCCCTTTTGAAAAAAAGAAAGTTTAGACATACCTTCGTGTATATGACCAAAAACATGATATTTTGGTTGAACTCGGTTCTGTACCGTGGACAATAATTCTACACATCCAGCTCGTACACCGCTACAGCACAAATCTCCGTGACCTACAGGAGGTGTGTGCGTAATAAGAATATCGGTATCCGATGGTATCATCTCCCACTTTAAAAGGCACGGTTCTCCACGAGGTACATTAAACGCCCATTTACAAAATTCTGGTTGCCTGAAATATGAAAAAAGCTTTCTTTGGAAAAATAAATGTTATACCCGAACTAACGTTCTTTAATTCTATTTCGCGACTGTATATATTTACCATGGAGTACCATAGATTTTTATTCCATGTATTGTAATTCCAGAATCCTCTAAATAAGTACAATTTGTCAAATAATCTTTAACATTAGTGGTTTGTATAGCTTCTGCCAACGTATCTTTGGACATTCCTAATGTAGGTATGGTGTCCAAAATACTGGTCCCTGTGTGCTTTTGACGATCGCCACTGGTTTGCATGGAAAAGGGATGAGTAAATGTTGAATCGAAACTAAGTTCATGATTACCAGCAATAACAATTTTATATTTATGTGGCAAATTACCTATGATAAAATAATATTTACCATGTATTAATATAGAAAACACACGTAATTACTCTCATTTTTGATTACTCACCAATCCAATTATTAAACTCTATAACTTCCTGTAAACTACCACATTTTGTAAAATCTCCAGCATGAACAAAGACATCTCCCATCGGTATATCAAACTTAATGAATGGTGTTAAAGAATGAGTATCACTCATACAAACGACACGAAGCTAGAATATAGTAAAGTATTATAACTTCTATCGTCGATCTTTTACCATATTGATATTTTTAGGTTAGACTGAAGCAAGTAGTTTGCAACAATTAAAAGGAATAAACGATCAAAGTACATTACCTTATCATTTGGAGCATCGGTTGTTGGAAGTTTAGCATTTATGTTAATGACTTTTTGCTGTTGTGACAATTCACGCCAAGCTGCTGTAGGATTGTCTGTCAGTGGATGTATCTCTATCTTCATGCTGGAAAGATTATGACAGACGATTGTCAAATGCAATTGTTATTGCAACAATAATTTAAACTTGACCAATTCTACACACGTATCGATTTAATTTCAATTTATACTTTTCTTGTATGAAAATTAACAATTGTATCAACAATGACAATTCTACATTTGGTTGCAGATTCATTTACGTTCCTCTTATAACTCAGACAATTGATTTTTGATTCGTACAATATTGTACGTTATGTAAATTATTATGTATTACGTAATTGCGATTCTAGCTATGTTAACCAATTTAAAAGCTTTATTGTAACTTTAACAATCTTCGAAAATATTTAAATACCGGCGAAATGATCAAAATTTTCGCGCCTAAATTTATGTATTCATAAGATGGAAGTCATTATTCATAAATATAACTACCCAGGAATTACTATGCATAGAATTTAAAAAAAAAGTCTGTATTTGTTCGTATAATATTTTGCAAACAACAGGTCATTTTTAGATTTCAATGGTCATCAATTGTTACTTATTATCTACATAGATAACAATATGTTTATTTAATGAATATAGCAGTGAGGTATGTTTGTTAGTTCTAAGAGTAATCCACAACCTTTGCAATAGCATATTTATAAGTTTCACAACGAATGAAAACAATAACTGCTATGAACAAAGCTCTTAGAATTATGAAACATCTCATGTTGATTAAATACACAAATTAAGAGGAGAAGTAATACGTATAGGTACATAATATTACAATTTTTAAAATTGTATTTCTACAACATGAGTATATTGCTGATTCATGAGAATGCAACCTGACGGTGACTAATCAACTCCTTATTTACTTGTTCTTTTTTTACTTAACGGGAAATGCTTTATTTCTAGAATAAGGCAATGAATTCTCACAATGAACAAATGAATGCTGTTTTATATGTAAGGGTAAAGTTCAAATAACGATTGGCCGAATTTTGTAATGTTACTCGTACTTTGATCTTTATATGTTTCCTTTAAATGAACATTACTCCTTATCTTCGTATTCATATCTATCAATATCCATACATCGTACATGGTCATACTTCTAGTGTACGGGAATATTTTCAATAAGTAGTACAGTGCAGTACAGTGCATTAAACGTATACACAAAAGTAACCGTACTGCTGTAAGTTCACGTTAAAAAATATTTTCGTAACGCAATAGGAAAAGGAGACAGCTAAAATGTTTTTGCGATCGGTAAGTAATTTATCGAAAAGTTATAAGACGGATATTCTATAAAATTAAAATTAACTGATTAAGTGAAACAATACAATTTTCGGAGATATGCAAAATAAATGTATACAAAATTGTTCAATATATCAAACGTTCAATCACGAAACTGCAACTGTGTATTATGTTTCTTAGGCATTAAAAGGAGGGATGTGTCAAAAGTTGACACGACCATTCTCAACAGGAACTGAGAGTGCTACGGGTTTTAATTTTGGTTAGCACAGTAATATACTACAATTATATTGTGTTACAATTGCATGGTTCATGTCTGAAATGTTTTGTTTATTGTAGCACTATCTGAAACTCAAAGGGAGATGCAAGATTTAGCACGAAAGTTTACAAGAGAAGAAATTATTCCAGTAGCTGCTGAGTATGATAGAACTGGAAAATATCCATGGGATATTGTCAAGAATGCATGGAGTTTAGGACTTTTGAATAAGCATATTCCTCAATATTGTGGTAAAATTAAAGATATATATGAAGAAAGTGAAATAGGATTTGAAAAAAAATAAAAGCAGACTATACATATATATATATATTATAAGTTTGTATAGATTATAAATGTGTAAACTATTATTATTATAGGGGGGATGGAGTGTGGCACTTTCGATGGTTGTTTAGTTGCAGAAGAATTTGCTTATGGTTGTACAGGAATATCAACTGTATTAGAAGGAACAGGACTAGGTGTTAGTATCGTAGAACACTCTTAATTTGTATTCATAAGAAACAAACATTTTAAATCAAATGTATTTTATTTGTAGCAAGCTCCAGTAATTGAAGCTGGAACAAAAGAACAGCAAAAAAAATATCTTGGTAGACTTATCGATGAGCCCCTCATAGCTGTAAGACAACTAAGTGGAAATTTATTTAAATACATACTAGCAATCTATATATTCATTTTCACAATATAAAAATTGTAGGCATACTGTGTTACTGAACCTGGTGCTGGATCAGATGTAGCTAATATTAAAACGAGATCTGAGAAAAAAGGAAACGAATGGATTCTTAATGGAACCAAAATGTGGATAACAAATGGCAGTGTTGCTAACTGGTATAACTAATTTATAATTAAATTGTTACATTAATTATCTTATTATCTATTTTTAATATATATTAAAAAATTAATGTTCTTTAGGTATTTCGTGTTGACGAGATCAAATCCTGACCCAAAAGCTCCATTAAATAAAGCCTTTACAGCCTTTATCGTCGAACGTGAAACTGAAGGTGTAACTGTTGGTCGTAAGGTAAGGTTCTTTCCATTGAATTTAAAATCACTTCGCTTCAATAAATAAAACTGCTTTATTTTTTCACAAAAAGGAGATAAACATGGGTCAAAGAGCTTCTGACACTCGAATGATAACATTCGAAGACGTCCGTGTTCCACAAGAAAATGTTTTAGGTGCTGAAGGGGAAGGTTTCGTACTTGCTATGAAAGTTTTTGACAAGACTAGACCACCGGTAGATTGAACAAAAATATTTCTTAAAAAGGAAAAATGAATTCTTAGTGTTTGAATATTATATTTTACCCTTCTTATAGGTGGCAGCTGCAGCTGTTGGTTTGGCACAGAGGGCGCTGGACGAAGCTACGAAATATGCAATAGAACGTAAAACATTTAATAAACCAATAGCAGAACATCAAGCTGTAGGATTTATGCTTGCTGATATGGCAATTGGTGTTGAAACGGCTAGACTTGCGTGGATGAAATCAGCTTGGGCCTCTGATCATCGTCTTCCATCGAGAACAACTCTTGCCAGTATTGCGAAGTGTTATGCTGGCGATGTAGCTAACAAGTGTGCAACGGATGCTGTACAAGTACGTAACATAAAGTGTATATTTCTAGTTACTCTAAACATTTAAATCCATTATTTTACATTTTCATTATATTACAGATTTTTGGCGGTGCTGGTTTCAATTCTGAGTATCCAGTAGAGAAGTTGATGCGAGATGCAAAGATTTATCAAATTTACGAAGGCACCGCACAAATTCAAAGACTAATTATCTCGCGTAATATAATTAACGAAGCAAAACAAAAGAACTAATAACCATAAATTTAATATTGCGATTACTTCTAAATAACGAAGTTATTATTCTTAGATGAATTTATATTTCTAAAAATTTTTTAAGATTTTTTATATTAATGTTAATAATATACAACATTATTTTGTTGACTGTAAATTGCGATGAAAATATTTTATTACTATTAAATTGAGCATGTATATCTCTATAACACCGTGTATGTTTGCTGCTAAACATTTATAAATTCGTTAATTGATGTTCTTATTTTCTAACATTTCTCTACTTCGAGAAATAGATAAAAACATCGTGCGTTGAACGCAAAGAGATGATCTACAGATTATAACCTCTGGTCGAATGTGATTATTCTACGATTCATATTTCGCGGCTCTCGGTGCCAGATGACGCTGCGAGCGTTGTCCGAAAGCGTTAGTCAAGTGTATTGTACAATGAAAAGGGATTACATCGCATTATGTCCGTCAGGCCATAGTTTTTACACGGTTATATTTGGTGAAGTCGTGCGTGACGAGTTATGCAACATTCGGTGTAAAAGCGCCCCATAATAGGACGACCAGATATTGTGACACCTGACCTACTTAGACAGTATCGTCGTATTTAAGACAGTGGTAAACTGACAACATTTATAACCCTAAAAATGTATTTGACAGGCTTTCGATTCGCAGATTCTAAATGCTTGTAAACACGAGAGAGCAGAGAAATCCTTCGGAAATTGCGTCTTTCCGCGTTACATTATTGGAACACAGTACCGTGTCTAGTAATACCCGGTACCCATATAAAACAGTGGTCGATACGTTCTTTCTTACGAATTCATCTCTTCTCTGTCGTAGTTCGATACCATAAACATCGAATGCAAAACATTACGAGACTATTCGAGTGTTCGAGATTTACTATTTCGAATGTAACAGCGAATTCGAACGCTCTCTTCACGGATAAGTGGCATTTACGAAGATCAGTATAGTATTTTCCCTTTCGATATCCACTGCCGTGCCTGCGCATCGTAAACACGGGCGCAAGCTATATATCGTCAGCATTTTCTTTGCATCTCGCATCGGATACATTCATCGAACTATCATAAAAGAAACCTTTTGGAATTATACATCACATTCCCCATGAATCGAGTAACTTCCTTAAATCGATCATCGCAACGATAGACCTAACAGAGAGTTCGATAAGATAGTAAATTGTGACATTTCTAAAGACGTGGATCCGCAAATAGAAAATCCACATTCTCCGTATTCCATAGAAACGAATGGTATTAAAAATCCAAGATCTATCGAAGCATAGTAGGAATCATGCTGCCAGCATCTGTTTAAGATATTCTAATGTACGATAAAGAAGTTGACGATAAAACGCCTTGAGATCGGCAGTCGGACTCTTAGATGCAGGCCAGCAATGGCAGCAACCGAAAGGCGATCACCGAGAAAAGTGATTTCGGTGTGTGATACGGACACGGGATACAGGCCAGGGGCGTTTTGGCGCAGGGTGTACGGTACTGGAACTCGTGCTGTCAGAGCGCAACGGTGCGCCGGACGCTCGCTTGACTAAGGGAGTGCCCGTCCCGATGCAAAGTGTAAGTGAAGTGGCCTACAGACCTACATTTGTCTAACGTTCGATTTTTTTCACGAGCCGCCGGACAGGAGGTTAATAATCCGCGCGGGGCTCATTTTTCCGCGGGCGTGTGCGATGTCGCTGTTGTGTGATATACCGATGTTCGGTTGAAAGAGACGGTGTGTAGTTTCGGTACGCTCAGACGGCGCTGGCCGGCGCGGGGAGCGTAGTAGTAAAAAGAGAGAGGAGGACAGCGAGAGCGTGCGCACACGAGGACGAGAGAGAGAGTGAGACCAAGAGAGAAAACCGTCCGACAGAGGGAGACGGAAAAGAAGGAACCAGACCGAGCGCGCGCTTCTCTCGAAAGGAAGCGAGACGGACAGATAGATAGACGGGGGGGCAAGAAAGAGAGAGCGCGAGGGCACGTAAGAGAGTGTAGGTGTTCCTCGAGAGAAGTGCGTGCGCTCGGGGACGACGTGCAGGAGGAGGGACCCCCGTCTGTCTGTCTGCTGGAATGCACGAGGGCCGAATGGCTACGGGGACAGGGGAAG